CAGCACTCGGGAGGCAGAGGCAGGTGGATCTCTGTGAGTTCAAGGCCAGCCTAGTCTACATAGTGAGTTCCAGGACAGCTGGAGCTACTGGGAGACCCTGTCTCAAAAAAACAAACAAACAAACAAAAAAAAAAACAAAAAAAGTATATTCAGACTGTGGATTGCCAGTATGCAGTAACTAAAATTAATCTAGTGCTAGTTGGGGAGATCACTCAGTGGGTGAAGTACTTGCTGGGCAGCCATGGTGGCCTGCCTAGAATCTCATTCGGGAGGTGGAGTTGGGGAATCCCCAGAGGAAGCTGGCTAGCTAGACTATCTGAATCAGTGAGCTCTGGGTTCAAGTGGGAGACCCTACCTGGATATGCATGGTGGAGAGCCATCAAAGAAGACACTGACATCAATCTTTGGCCTCCATACACACGTACAAATGTGCCCACACACATGTGAGCATGCACACCTCCCCACACAAATCACCTGGTGAGGCATATTACATATTATATTCTGAAGTATAATATAAAGTACACTACAGAATCAGTATATACTTATAACCAGTTGTGCAAAGTTTTAAAAATACCCAGAACCATACTATGTATTATCAAGGGAATATGCATTTATATAATAAATGAAGCATTAAAAAATCTTTTTTTTTTTTTCTTTTTGACAGGGTCCAGCCCCAGGTGGCCTGGAACTCACTATGTAGATCAGGCTAGCCTCAAACACAGAGATCCACCTGCCTCTGCCTCCCAAGTGCTGGGATTAAAGGGGTGCTCCACCATGCCTGGCTTGAAGCATTAAAAAAAAATTATATTGAATTAAAAGATTTAGCAAATATGGCAAAATTTAATTAAGTCTAAATGCCTGGTTATCTTCTTACTTAGGGAGCTGTGTTAATTACTAAAACATGTAATTAAAATTGAACCAATGAAATGAAATTTCCTGGACCGATTCTGTTTCCAGTACATTCAGATTTCTGTGTACTGTGTTTTCTGTCACAATTGAGTTTTATTCCTCCAAAGAAACATAACCACATGTTTTAAGGTTGAGATTTGATTATCTAAAGTTTAGGCTTCAGGGACTTGGAATCTGACCAGCAGAGGGCACTGCTGTACAGCAGATATGCGGTTGGGATGGCTACTCCAGGCCTGTTTTCTTGTGCGGTACCAGAGTCTCCCCATGCCCTGTTCTGTACTGTGAAGGGAAAGAAGGGTACATATAGTGTTCCTTCAGCTTGTAAGAAGGGACCTGTACATTGTGTTTCTCTGAACATTTGGAGCCTTGGCAGTTTCTCAAGCCAGGAATGCCAACAGCACACATGCTCAGCATCCTTGGCTGTCACTTCAGCAGGGCTAACTGCTGGTGGTTAGGAACTTAAGTGTGGCTAAACTGACCAAGCAATGTTACTTTTGCTGTAGATGGAAAAGGATTATTCTTACCTGAAGGAGATCTGTGATCATCAAGCAGAACAGCTGAGCCGAACCAGCCTAAAACTGCAAGAGAAATCTTCAGAGAGTGATGCAGAGATCAAAGACATGAAAGAAACCATATTTGAATTGGAAGATCAGGTGGAACAGCACCGCGCTGTCAAATTACACAATAATCAACTCATTAGTGAGCTGGAAAGTAAGTGACTCATCTTAGAAACATGCAATAGGTGTGAATAGAAACTGGTCATGGTGGGTGATAGGAGGATTTTCTAAGGATACATGTTGTCTGGGGAGTGTGTCTGGAGGGAGGCCTTTTTTTTTCAGTGCTCTGTAATCTCCCAAAGAGAAAGGCACTTAAGAAACAATCAGTAATCTCTTAAATTAAGTCAGATGCTGGGTGAAAGAAAAGATAGGTGACCACAACTTTCAGAAAAGGGCAGGCACATTTTGGAAGAGTTCGATGTACCTTCACACCACAGCTGTGCTGCAGCCTCTTGTCTAGACAGCTAAATCCACTTTGAATTCAACTGTAACTTTTGAGCTTTTATACAGCTTTTCCTACAGATGACCCTCAGTGTTTAAGAGTGTTATTCAGAGTTGTTTACTGCAGTCGTCTAGGGTTGACAATGTCTTCTAGATCTGAAGGATGAGTTAGGTGATAAATGAGTGAAACAAACAGTCTGTGCCTAAGTTCTGAGGGACAAAATAATTCCAGTGAGCTTACAGATGTTAGCTACTTGCTTTCTGAAAAGGCATCAATATATGGCTTACTTATGAACTCATCATTTGCTTTGAAGAGGGAAAGACATTTATTTGTTTGTTTGTTTATTTATTTATCTATTTATTTTGGTCTTTTTGAGACAGGGTCTTCCCGTAGCCCCAGCTGGCCTGGAACTCACTATGTAGATCAGGCTCCACCTGCCTAGGCATGTGCCACCATGCCTGGCTGGGAAAGACATTTTAAGAGATTAAACAGTATTTGCTTTTATCCAAATCAGCCTTATAAAATATCACATCTAATAAGTTCTGCTTTTGTACCAAAAGACTTAATAAATCAGTTTTGAACAGCACTAGTCATTACTAAATATAACTTAGTTGCCTGAGAAATTTCTTACTGTGTACAGCCGATCCTCACTACTCATAGATTCATGAATTCATCTACTCACTAAAATTTATTTGTAGTCCCCAGATTGGTCCTCATAGTGCCTTCCTTGTTTGGAGACATGCAGAGAGAGGTGAAAAATCAGTGATCTAGCACTTAGGTTCCCAGAGATTATACTTTTGATAGACTTCTACTTTCTTGCTGAGTTCTGATACTGTGTATTAGTGTCTTTTCTTTTCTTTTCTTTTTAAATTTTATTTATTATTTTTATTTTATGTGTATGGGTGTATTGCATGCATGTAGGTAAGTGCACCTGTGTTGTGCAATGCCCACGGAGGTCAGAAGAGGCTGTCGGATCCCCTGGGACTGGAGTTACGGACAGTTGTTAGCTGCCATGTGGGTGCTGGGATTTGAACCCCGGTCTTCTGCAAGAACAACCAGTGTTCTTAACCTCTGAGCCATCTCTTCAACCCCAAGTGTCTATTTTCTTTAAACAAAAATTTTTACATTCATTTATTTGGGATGTGGCAATCAGAGAACAACTTGGTTCTCTCCTTCCACCATATGGGTCCCAGGGATCCAGCTCAGAGTCATCAGGTTTGGTGGCAAGCACTCTTACCCACTGAGCCATCTCACTAGCCTACAAGTGTCCTTCTTATGACATGCCATGTCTTCAGTGGTTTTGTGCTTGTTTTTCATGATTGCTACTATGTGAAATGGCTCCCAATTATGATGCTAAAGTGCTGTCTACTGTCCTTAAGTGCGAGAAACTTGTGACATACCTTACTACAGAAATAGCTGTGTTAGATAAACTTGGTCAGGCCTGAGCTTTGGTGCTGATGGACTTGAGTTCAGTATCAATGAGTCAGCAACCAGTGAAGCCAGGCAGAGGATGCACTGCATATGTCCCAGCATAAGGCTTCTCTGGAAAGTGCTAGCACTGTGACATTCATCATGCATTGTGATATGTCTCCCTTGATGATGAAGCTGTGGAAAGGATGGAAAAGGGAGTAAACTTGTAGATTAATGAGATGAAGGCCCATAAAGAACAGTGTAGTGGACAGCAAGATTACAATGCCAGAAACCAAAGAAATTCATATCTTCCTAACCAAGGGTGAGGAAAATATTAAATCCTTCTCATTACATGCCCAAAGGGCATAAGAGAAGGGACACTTATAGGCAAGAAAGGTTATAGAGATGATGGAGCAGAAAAATGTTAAAAATACCTGTGCAGAATTGTAAAGGAAACGGAAGGTGAGGTCTCTGATGCTTATGGGAGTGGCCTGTATTATAAGGACACTGGCAAGCAAATATCCTTCTATCTGATGAAAAATGTAGCCAGAAGCTTGCAGGAATTTAACCCTGTGTTTCACTGGGCAAGTAGACTTTGTGTGAGAACTGATGTGAACATGATGTTCAATAGAACTGTAGATCACTGACATTCAGTGTCAGCCGTGAATAATGATACTTGAGAATCAAGTGTCTAGTCAGTGCCTATTTCTAAACAGCACCACCTTTGTAAAGAAACAAGTCCTGTTTTGTTTTTATGACTTAGCACTGTGTATAATTGTCCCTAAATCCTTAAAAGTCAGCCCAGCTGGGCGTGGTGGCACACACCTGTAAGTCCTAGCACTTGTGAGGCAGAGGCAGGTTAATCTCTGTGAGTTCAAGGCCAGCCTGGTCTACATAGTGAGTTCCAGGCCAGCTGGAGACTACAGGGAGACCCTGTTGCCTTTCCCTTACATGCTTCAAAGGCAGAGCACACCTCAGAGGAAGGAAAATCAAGCAAGAATTTTTCTTCTCAGTTCTTCTGAGCCTTGGAAGCAGAGTTAAAAAGCAGATTCTAGATGTTCCCCTTTTTAAAAAAAAAAAAAAAAAAAAAAAAAAAAGTCAGCCCAGACACAGCAAGCAAACCAGTGTCTAATTAATGTCCAGAGCAAACTTGAGGTCCACCTCCAGTGATTATATCATAATATATCCAAGACTGAAAATAACACAGACTGTCTTCTCAGAAGCTTTTAAACTCCTGTTAGGGATATTAAGGTATTATTAAAGTATTTTTGTGTTAGGAAGACAGGGACACTCAAGTCCAGCCCTAGACAAGTCTCTCCCTCCCATGAGATCCTTGAGAGGGATAGACAAAAACATCAAGACGTGAAGGAAGGGCTTTTTACTTTACAGCATTGACCCCAGACACAAACCTCAGGCCCCATGGGCAAGCTGATTCAGAATTACCAGGGCAGGGTATGACTGTGGATTCCTTCAGACCTTCTCTAGTGATTCTATTTCACACACACATACACCGTTTTTTGTTTGTTTGTTTGTTTGGTTGGTTGGTTGGTTTTTTTTTTTTTTTTTTTTTTTGTCTTTTTGAGACAGGGTCTCCCTGTAGCCCCAGCTGACCTGGAACTTGCTGTGTAGACCAGGCTGGCCTCAAACTCACAGAGATCCACCTGCCTCTGCCTCCCGAGTGCTGGGATTAAAGGTGTGTGCCACCACGCCCAGCCATACACCCTTTTTTTAGACAAACTTACTCTGTGACTTAAATCCTGGGATTACAAATGTGTACCACCATACCTGACTTGATTTATATCTTTAATAGACAACCACAGGAATTTTAGCTAGTCGATTGACATACTGAGAATTAAATTTAAACAGCTCCAATAGCAATATGGAGGGAACTGGAGGCAGGAAGGAAAAGGGACAGAATTTGTTCTAAATTTGAGAGAGGTAGTTGAACCACCTGTGGAGCTCTTACAACATACATGGGCCCAGATCCCGACTGACTTCAGAGATTCTGAACTAATGGGTCTGGTGCTGGCACATATGTACCATATGTGATTCTGAGATTTAACTGTGGTTAAGAACTGTGGCCAGGAGTAATAACCAGTGGAATTCTTAATCACCCAAAAGCCCTCATGTCTTACCAGTAGAGGCCATTCAGGTTGCTTGTGTGTGACTAGCAGGGAGGCCCAGGGCAGGGGTGTAAGTGCGCACAGCTGCTGAGGCCTCCTCCCATAGTGCTACCTGGCAGTACAACTTGTCTTCTGAGGATAACCTAAGTAAACACCACTGACTTCACATGTCCTCCCATGTCTTGTCTTGGAGAAATTTCCTGCTTCTAGAGCTCTATTTTCAAAATGCTTAAAACTTAGAGTATAGGAATGGATTTGTAAGCCTGCTGTCTCCAGAGCTGACCCTTGCTATATTATGCAGCTTTCCTGTCCGTGAGTCTTGCAACTTTCCAATTTCTATCTAAATCTTTTTCTTCTAGGCAACATGATCAAGCTGGAGGAGCAGAAGTCAGACCTGGAACGGCAGTTAAAGACCCTGACAAAGCAGATAAAGGTAAGCCACAGACCAAGAACCTCCTCTGTCATCTTACTAGACATTATTCCTATCTTAGGTTGGAAATATTGGGAAAGTAACTGTCACTCTCTGCAATCAACTCTCTCCTAGAACATCTCCAGGAAGTAAACTAAAGCAGTCGTTAAGTTTTTAGATGAAAACTCTGACATGTTGATGGAGTTCCCATCTGTGGCTCTTCCTAGTAGTGAGACACTATAAAAGCTGAAGCTTTCTGCTGGCCATTCTTTCTCAGTGACTAACTTTGAGATTCTAGAGCCCCTACCTAGATGTTGACCCCAGAACACCTGCCCAGTGACTGAGGAAGTTGTTGATTCTGGCATTTTTAGGAGGAAACTGAGGAATGGAGGCGGTTCCAGGCAGACTTACAGACCGCAGTGGTGGTGGCCAATGATATCAAGTGTGAGGCCCAACAGGAACTTCGCACTGTGAAGAGGAGGCTACTGGAGGAAGAGGAAAAAAATGCCAGGCTGCAGAAGGAGCTGGGGGACATACAGGGTCACAGCAGGTAAGTCACTGGAAGAGCCGTACTTCTGTGAGTCTGTTGGGCACCCAGCCATCGCTTTGCTTCTCACTTGATCAGTGTGTTTGGAGGGGGTTGGGGGCTAAGTCACAGGGGGATTGGGATGCTTTTGTGACTCTCTGTGCCAGGTTCTGCTATGTCTTTGCTAGGATCACTGTACCACTAACCATCATCGCTACACATTTAGGGATATTCCATCAACAGCTCTGCACAAGGTTTTTTTTTTTTTGTAAAAAAAACCCTTCACTTATATGTGAAGGGAAAGGTCTAGCCAAATATCCTCCTAGGCTTAAAGAAGGGTTACCTATTAAATTTAGTGTTTATCAGCATGGGAAGAATATACTCAAATACTAACTTGCATGGGTCTCATACATCAAGAAGAACTAAAGCAATTCCCAAGGAGTCACTCCTGCCAGTCCAGGGACATGCTTCCTGGTTGCCAACTCCCATGGGCTATTTTAAAAAGGCCTTTACTCCAGAAGCAGAGGCACAAGGATAGCAGTAAGTTCGAGACCAGCCTGGTCTAAATAGTGAGTTCCAAACCAGCCAAGTATAATGACATAGTGAAACCCTGTCTCACCAAACCAAAACAACAGCAGAAGTTATATTTCTACTGTGTCTAGTAGAGGCTCACACCTGTAATCACAGCACTTGGAAGACAGAGGCAGGAAGATCAGGAGTTCAAGGTCATCCTCCATTTCATAGTGAGAGTGAGACATGAGACCCTGTCTCAAAAACAAGAACAGCAGGCCTTGTCACCTGAGTTTTGCATTAAAAAGAGCATGAAACTGAGACCTCTTGTTGATGCCTGACTTTCCTTTCTGTTCTTGGGGTGGTACTTACACAGTGCATTAGCCTAGCAATGGTACTCCTAAGGCAAGCTTGAAGTTATTATTTTAAAGTAATATAGGATTTACAGACAAGATTATAAGCAGCATTTTCAGCTTTCCGTAATGTGGTAATCTTCCCCTAATCTGGACTCAGTTTCTTTGAGTTTCCCGAATGTTTAGAAATTATTTAT